TTTATGCCATAGACCATTTAAGAGAGTGAAGGCTGGTGGATTTTGCATATGCCGTATCTCAGTTATTAGACATGGGACCTACACCAAATTGTTTATTTAGTGTCATTATAAACTAATATAAAGTTATGCGCAAGCAGAATTTGAATTGAACTTTGCGAAAAAAATATATTTTTGCTCCGCCTACACAATACAAATTTATATAAAATGGTATAAAATCTGTAATATTTAGAATTTATAAATAAATTTTGAAATTTGTCGATAAACTATGGTAAATTATAGATTACACCAGTAAAATTTGTATTATCTTTATTGCTGGGTAGGCGTATCTTTCTTCGCAAACTTCTATTTAAATTGAGCTTGCGCAGAACTTGTTAATTTAGTGTCATTATAAACTTAGTGTGGGTCCCATGTCTAATAAGTTATTAGTAATAACTAAGATATCGGGATATGGTCTCTATGGTCTATTAGATTTATCTTATATAAAGTAAATTTCGGTTTATTATGTTTATCCAAATACCTTTGTTAACTATTTTTTAGTTCAATTAAGTTTTTTCTAGTTTTAGGAAATTCTTGTGTTTATTTTATTGAATGTGAACAAGTTTGTTTATTCTTTTTGTTTTTTGTTAAAAAAAATTTGCTAGCAAATTTTTAATTCAATTTTTTTATTAGTTCCCGATCTAATTGGATACAAAAGTTGAGACGATAGTTATGTACAATTGAATAGAATCATAGGCAATTATATATGTAACGGACAAAATACGAAGGCGTAGAAGGGCTATCCAAAATTCAAATCTGTATTTGTTACAAAATTTTAAAATTTCGAGCTGTAAATCAAAATATTACACCAAAATTTCGTTTTATATTTCGGCATTTTGTACGTACTATGTCTATTTTATTTTAGAATTTGGTGACGGAATATTGTGCCTAGCAAAAGCAAACATTAACAGTGATATGTACCGTATTCCAAAATGTTACATAATATTCTATTATTACAATAAAAACTGTATCTTTTTAAATTTCAACAATTTCTGGAGGGGAGAAGGTGTCAGTATATATTTTTTTAAATAAAAAAGTAGTTTTTTATGCTTAGAGACATTGCTTCACTTTCAGATTTTAGAATATTGTTTATTATAATAAAAAATATTTATTTTTATATTTCAAAAATGTCTCTGAATATAGGGAGCTATTTTTTATTTAAAAATAGACTTCTGACCCCTTGTCCCCTTCAGAAATGGTTAAACATTTAGAAATAAATATTTGTTATTATAATAAACAATTTGAATGTAAAACAAGATCTCCATGCACATAAAACATTTTTTTTATTTAAAAAATTATTTGCTGACCCCTTGTTCCCTTTAGAAATTTTGAAAATATATAGTTTTTATTGTTATAAATAATATTTCAAAATATGAAAGTAAAACCTCTTAATGTATCTAATCTGATCCATTGTCCCCTTCAGAAATGGTTGAAAATCAAAGAGGGGCCCCCGGGGGTTATGTTAAGTTAAAAAAAAATCAAAAAAATTACAGTTTTCGAGTTATTAAGAATTTAAGTTTAAAAATGTGTAAATTTTGTTCACACTTTTAAAAAAGCTTGTTTTGGAAAATAAATAAGAAAGGCATCTAACAGATACTTACCCTTATAACTGTTTGTCAGAAAAAAATTGTATTTTTTATACATAAATTAAACATGGTACACCGTGGGTGCGCATGTATAAGATTTTGTAAATCCGTCACCAAGATTTATAAAACTTGATAATTTTGCATAGATTCAAAGATGCTGTAGCGGGCTTTAACATCGTCAATAACCAACAGTGTAGCGGAACGATTGAGGTCGCTTGGTTGTTTCTTTCTTAAGAAAGTAATTTCTTAGTTAGTTTCACGAATACTGCGAGTGTATAAAGTACTTGTATATTAGTTATTAAGATTGCTTTTGTTTAGAAAGTACGGATTCATGTGAAATTAGTGAGCCTAGGAAAATATCTATATTAGGTAAATTAACATCAATAATAAAGTTATTTTTATTGAATAATTTATATTGCAATTCGTTTAAATTATCTATATTATCTTGTAAAAAAGATTTATTGTAGAATATTAGGTAATTAAGTAGTTTAATTAAAATATTATAATGGAAACCATAAAAGATGATATTGTAAATAATATATTTAAATATGTATTAATTTTTTATAAATTTTTCGGTTAGAAAGTATAAATTAATGTAAAATTATTAAATAACAAATAATAATATTTATTTATTAAAAAGCTGTTTGCATTTTATTTTTGTGGGAAAAATAAATAAACTGTACCTAATAATCTAGAGTCTAACCGAACAATTTATAGTTTATACAATAAATAAGCATGTTATTATTTAAAATTTAATAATTTAAATAATACTTTCCAACCCAAAAATGTATAAAAAAAAAATACATTTTTTAATACCTATACAAATAATTTACAATGTCGGTATAGGCTTAAAACAATCATCTCTTATGCACAACCATGGTTTTCATTAAACTATTTTTTTAAACTACCTAATAACCTAATATTCTTCAAGGAATCTTTTTTACAAGATAATATTAATATTGCGAATACATGCCCCGTCTCATATAAGTTGGTACTCATGAATTCATTCAATGGTGTTAGTAAACCCAGGTTTTCTTTGAGTTTTTCGGTTTTGGGCCACTAAGTTGGTTGTTTTGTTTAAATGTATGATATTTTTAATAGAAGATACATATACCGAAAATTTTTTTACTTTTAATTTTGCATAATGATAAAAAATGTTAAAACCTTTTAGCGTTTTATTTTTTTTTATCTTTATACATTTTTGTATTAAAAATTTCAAATTCAACTGTCAAGTTCATTTGTTACTGTGGTAACTGCCTTGTATAGTATAAGAAAAATAATTTATTTTGTTGAAGAAAGTTGTAAATTGAATGTAAGCAACAAAAAATGTTATAGTTAGATTCTGTATTGTAGATTGCGTTTCGATTAAATACAATTTTTTCTCGTGGCTGGGCCAACAGGTCTCGTATTAAATCTTTTTGATCTAACCCAATCCATTTTAAAATGACGTATTTCCCTTAATGTTAATAAAATTAAATTTAAAATAATTTACAACTATTAAACTACTTATTTCAAAATTGCTTTATATATAGGTAATTATAATTCGCGAAAAGTTAACCGTGGCTTATGTATTTAATTTATTATAATTTTAAGTTTGTAGACGTACCTACTATGTTTTTATTTATAATATGATATAATATAATATATACCTATGTATATATATATATATATATATATATATATATTAGGGTGGTCGTTAAAAATTATTTTTTTTGCGACGCCCCCTAAAATGCTTCGAAAAATTTTCAATTTAAAATTTCTATTCTATTGTTATTTCGATTAACTATTGTTTTTTATTGATTTGGGTTCTATAATTGTTTATATTTCGAATAAAATTTTATTTTTCATAAAAAATTACCAAAAAAACATGATTATACCAAAAAATTAGCAAGTATTAAATAGTTTTTTGGCGACACTTTTTATATGGACAGCGTTTATCGAAAAGGATCCAAGCGCCAAAAACTTTTTCTGGGGAAACAAAATTAACTCATTTTTAATGCTGCTCAAAAATTAATAAAGATTTGGGAAACTTCTAATCTCTTCTGAGAAAAGTTGATATGATGATTAACCTTTTGAGAATTATTAAATTATTAAATTATTAAATATGAGTTATATTACAAATAATAATAATAATAAGCCCAGACTTCTAAGGTAATTATAGCTATTTCAAAATTTAAATTTTCAATAATTTTTAGTTGTTTTTAATTATTTTAATTTAATTAATAATTTAAAATTTTAACTTACTGTTATGAAAGTAGTTCATTTTCTTAATAATAAACGTTTATTTATCGGTTCTACCAAAAAGCTCTTCTAATTTTATTATTTTTATGGTTTATATTAAATATACGTAAAACATTAAATATAAGAAACAATTTTTAAAACTCAAAAAATTGAGACACCATATAAAGAAATCAAATATAAATTTTGTAATACTATATCGTGAGAATATTTATGAAAGTGAATAATATTAATAAAAAACTACATTCAAACTAAAGAATACAATAAAAAACATTGGTGAAGTAGGGAAAATCCGGGCTACTTAAACCATCTTTCAAAATTCGATTAAATTTTTTAGATTAAAAAAATGAAAAATTTAGTTTGATTTAGTTTGACTGTTTTTAGTAAGAAAAATATGTTTTTGTCGCTGGCGAATGCCTTTAAACCTAATAAATGTACGTAGAAGAAAAGGAGATTGCCATTGATGCATCAATAAAATTAAGAAAGGGGCCACTATAAGAATAAACATCTTTTATTTTTTTTAAATTTAATATTTATCTGAAATAAAATATTAAACAATGTTGTTGCTAAATAGTGGGGCTATCGCCTACAAATATAGAATTAAAATAAAACCTCCAGGTATGACCCACGGGGCACACTATTAATTTTTATGTAAAAAGTCTCCCGAAGTCTCCCTACCCAATGGATTGGGTGCATTTTAAGATCAAAAATATAAACATACGTCTAAGTTTATAAAGACATGTTAAAAACATTATGTTTATCTTGCTTGTTTTTTCTAATGTATAAACAAGTCATCTTATTGGTTTCTCTTGTATCCATTGGGAATTGGTGAAAAAACAATAGTAGAACATGACTGCAAATAAAACAAACGCATGTACCCACAGAGGTTTAATATAACCTTTAATAAAATTTCAAATCGATAAAGTATTACAAAATAAAAAAAATAATTTGCTTATATATAAAATGAACTTAAAAACTAAAAACAATATAAATCAAATTATAACTAGAGAGTGTAATACCATTAAATAAATTTAAACATTTAAAACTGCATAAAAAGCATTACACAATGAAAACTGATTTGCATTTTAGTTTATGTAACTTGACCAAATATTTGGTTGTAATTTTATTTTGAGGTTCTGCGTGATATTATATAAAGTATAAAATTTTATGTTTATCCACCATAAAAAAATTCAAAGCGGATTTTCCTACCTTTTAATAGTTAATCAGAGGAATAGAATTATTGTGTGTAAACTGTGTTTATCATCAGAAAGGCGTCGAAAATGAAACCTGCTACATAAGCAAGATAAGTAGGTATGTAGGTACACTCGGTTAATAAACTTTCTTTCTGTGGTAGTGAAAGTTTAAAATTTATTAAATATAAATGTATTTCTAATAAACTTACATTTTTAAAATATGTAGGTGCTACATCTTGTAAAGAGTAAACAGTAAGGGTTTAACTTTATTTTATTATTCAAAAATTAATAAAAGTCACTATCCGGCAGTAAATAAAACATAAATTAATAGAATATGCAGGGGCTAGCAATATTGCGTATTTAACATGTAACTGGCCCGTGCGCAAAGGGAAGGGTTGAGGGTACAACCCCCCATTGAAAGTCCTAAAATAAAAAAAAATATTATACTGCAGTATAAGTATACTTAAAATTTCCCCAAATTAAACAACCATCAATTAATTACTCCGAAATTCAGAGACATTTATTATTATTATCATTATTTTATATTATTATTATTATTATACTAATTAGTATAATAATAATAATAATAATAATACAATAATGTAAATTATGTTTGTCGTTTTCATAATAAAATTCTATATTTAATTTTTTTACATGAAATAAAAAGTCTGTTTCTCCTGCAACAATTAGACTGCCTTTCCAACAGAGCTGGGATATTTTTTTCGTAATCAGGTCACCGAAAAATGTTTAAGCTTTAGAATTTTTTTGCTAATAGCTACCCAGTAAGCACAAGCTAACCGGCCCGCATACGGCCCGAATACGTTTTGCCGAATCGGCCGCGTGCGGCCCGACACATGTAATTCGTGTAGAACGGGCATGTCCGCCTGGCCAACTGTCGGGCATATCCGCCTGGCCAAATGTCGGCTATGTTTACTCGGCCGAGTGTCGGCTGTGTATAGTTGGCCGAGTGCCGGCCACAACCGCCTGGCCATTCAAAAAAAGCCTACAGACGTCCTAGAGAGGTATATCCTATAAGTTCAGTCCTTAAATTCTCTGAATGGCAAGATACTTCTTTAAAACACTCGACTAGCTAGACAATATTCAGTACTGAGCAGATGAGGATGGAGATGGGGACTCCGAACAATTAATGTTCAGCTATGCCATTACGGACGCACACTTCCAACTAAATATTGCAACCAATCGCTATTTATAGTTAGCTCGCGTGCGTAAGCAGCCGTGAGATGTATCGGTTTTGCCGCGGCAGGCCGTATTCCAGCCGTAAGCGGGCCGGCTAGGGCAAGCCGAAGGATTTTGCAGCGGCATGCCGTATTCTGGCTGACTTCGGTTAGAACATGGCTAAACGGTACCGGGGTAACATAACGCGGGCCGTAAGCGGGCCGGCTGGGGCAAGCTGAACCGCCGGTCAACCGCCTATGTCGAACGAAGGCCGACTGTTTGGCAAACAGTGTTTGCCAAGTGTTTGGTGCTTACTGGGTAATAGCTAATGAAATTGAAAAAATCTCTTGGTTTTGTTATCATTAAAACTAAATTATCAACACTACTTTTTCTTGAAGAATAGAATATTTTTAGCTATATCCAAGGCTGTTTGACTTATTCATTTTTAAAAAAGATATGGTCGAAAGGGTCAAGAAGCAAAACCTTATTTTCGTTATCTATGTCGAACTTCCACGTCGAAAGCAATACAACCGTACGAGATAACCCCAATTTTCCCCCAATGTTGTAGGAAATTTAATAACGAAGATTTTGATATATTTGCGCAATATTCTATTCTTCAAGGAAAAATAAGAATTGTTCAATGAACAATGTTCATATCTCGTGTATTGGTGTTAATAATTCAGTTTAAATGATAACAAAACAAAGCGATTTTTTCAATTTTTTTAAACAAACAAAAATTTGGATATTACTAAAAGCCAAATTTTTGTTTTTAGTTAAATTTAAAAATCTTCTATTGGCTATGCTGTTAGCAAAAAAATTCTTTGGCTGACTACGGAAAAAATATCCCAGCTCTGTTGATTTTTTTTTTAAATTTTATAAGACAGTGTTATTATTTTAAATGTTTATATTTTTAACAATTTAATTATAAAACCCCATATGAGAAAATCCTGCCCAAGGCCCTGAACATCTTAAAATATCTTTTAAAGTGTTTAACTTAAATAAAATTTAATTTAAGAAATTATTCTTGTATTGCATATATTTAATTTAAAATATTTGATCTCAAAATCAAAATAATACGGTTTTAAAATGAATTAGTCGATAATGACTAATTGTAAGTCATATTTGATTAAATTTCATAAAGAAAAAGCAGTCACTAATAATTAGTTAAAATCTTCCAAATGAAATAATAAAATTAGTTGATTTAAATTTTAAAAAAGTTATGGAGGTGCTAGGGTTTGAACTCGGCTCTCTTGGTTGTCAAGCTAATAAAATCAAATCAAAATCAAATCAAGCGGATGTCTAATCGCTGCACTACGGAATCCGTCGAAAATATTAGGGTTTTTCTCGATAAAACCAATAAAACAACGATTATAAATGCGAATAGAAAGCACAACAATGACAATGGCGTCTGACGTTTGATTATGCAATGGTTTATCTACTTAAGGATTTTTAATATAAGCGAATCAAGATAGAAAAAACTTGTGTGGATTGTGGTTGTGCCTGCTCTGTAATTGTAAATCTAATTTTAAAATACCTAAAATTAAATACGTATATAGGTATACCTATTTGCAATATACCTATGCACATAAAAAATAATATATTTTGTATTTATTTAATTTATATTCTACTTTTATTTATCGCCAAAAACAAAAAAATTTTTTGCAAGAGTTAATAAATAGAGGGAGGGGGGCCCTTTACGGATCATGCATCAGGGCCCACAAATCCTAGTTACGCCACTGCATGGAGCCTACATGCATTTAACCAGTGGCAGATTCAGGATTTTGGTTTTGGCTTGACCTAATTAAGGGTAGGCTTTATTAAGGTTACACTAAAACACTCAAAAAACAAAATTTTATTTTGCTTATTTAACGCATATATAGCGAGTCTACTCTAATAACTTTTTGCAAATTCTTCAATAACTTTGGCAGGTTGTAGGCTGCCTGATATTTCTTGGTAAATATACAGGGTGGCGCACTGGGTATTGAGGGTTTTAAGAGTGTTAATATACATGAGTTTTTATAACTTGACATCTGCGCCATCAATTTAAGGATACCTATAGCTCAGACATTCATATTGTATATCCAAGCCGCAGGAGCGCTGGCATACTAGCGATTAATTAAAAAAATTTAAAAATTAAAAAAGTGCCTTTACCTTTATAAGCACAGCTTTAAAGTAAAACTTCTAAAGGAGATGGTAGGAATCGAGATTTAGAGTAATTATAATTAATTGTGCGATAAAAACTAAATAATAAGTTTTGTTCAATAAAAAGTATATCCCGCATGGTCTAGGATATCTGAGATATCGCTATATGCCCGCAATATGCGCGCGATATACCGCGATGTGACATATTCTTCACTTTAATTTTTTTGGGAAAGTTTCACTTTAAAAATTAACCAGGAAAAATTGTCATTTTTAATTTTAGCGCCCAAAAAGAATGCGTAAGGCACCAAACCCAGTAACTTAAAAAATGGCCTCAACAAAACAAAGTTTAATTTTAACCAAAAAGAGACCAATAATAAACATTTGACACTGGGAACATAAACTAAAACTCAATAAATCAAGAAAACCCAAACATAGTAAAACTCTAATGGATTTTGTAAACACATTAGATTATTCACTGAAAGTAAAAAAATACCCCCCCCCCTGATAACACGGAGAAAGGATCGCAACGCGAAATTGAAACAACAGCAGTGAATAGACAAAAACTTAACAATCACATGTTATCCCGTAATTCACCAAGCCTACAAAGCCTCCGGGTTTCTACATTCTCAATTAGAAAAATCTGTAGGAACAACAATAATAGGTACATTTAAAAAAAATAGTCAAACCGGAAAAACCAACATCGTAATAGACCAAAAAAAAATACCTATAGGTATTTTATATATGCCTATACACTGTATAGTATACAGTAAAGCAAGTTCGATTTAAAAATTAATAAACAAGCATACTCGAAGGACGTAACTCGTCAATAAACTCGTCAATAACCCCCCAAATCTTAAGTAGGTAACACACGAAACCAGTTACTGGCCGACTAACATAAACATAAACAAATAAACATTAAGTATTAGTTTTCTGCGAGCCTAAAATAGTATAACAGAATAATTGCGCTTGCCATTTGTTTAAGAAATAAATAAATGCAATACATAATTTTGGAAATTAAGAAAAAAGACAAAATACAATTCTACCACAAAACGTGCTTGGGCAACACAATAACTAAAATTTGTTCGAAATTTCGCACTACTGCGGTAATAAACATTAAAAAAAAACATAAAAATGCCTACTGTATTGTACGAAAAACTATTATAATCATATAAACAATAACAAAAGAATACGCAAGATGTTCCAATGCTTTCATAGTGGCTCGTTGGCAATTTTAAAACTATTGGACCGTCCAATTTGGACGTCAGGTTAACATCAAAACCTATTATAACATTATAATGTCACTTTGCAATTAGGCATGGTAGTGTTCTCAATGCCTCTCAAAACAATTAAAGTATTAACTATGTTACCTGAGAACTTGGAAGCTATAGTTTCTTTAATAAACGAATATCGATAACCGAGGAAAATCAGAATAAATACGACTCACCAGATTGAATAAGCAAGCCGGTTGGCTTGACCATTCTTACCCTCTTCTCTTCGGTCGTATTTAGACCTTTAGAAAACGACTCACTGGTGGCTAAAGGGCACTTTGACAAAATATGACCGGTAGCACCACACCTAAAGCACGTTACAACAGATTTATTTAAGGCAACGCACTAGCACTGGACTAATGGATTCCAGATGTGGTTTTGCTTTCGTTAATTCGAAAACGACATTCACACATTTTATGACCCACTTTCCACAAAAATTACACTTTAATGTGGTTGATGATTTATGTCCTTTTGCATAAGATGAGGTAGAATCTTTCGCTTACAGTACGATAATGCCTTTAACTCTCTTTGC